GTGGGGGGAGGGAGAGTGTGGGTTCTGTCAGAGTCAGTAGGAGGTCGTCCGCGTAGGCTGCTATCTTGTATTCCTCATTGCGGATTTTGATGCCAGTGATGGCCTTAGTCTGTCTTATTATTTGAAGGAGGGGTTCTAGTGACAGGGCGAAAAGGAGTGGGGATAGGGGGCAGCCTTGCCATGTGCCATTGTGGATTATAAAGGAGGGGGTTGAGCAGTCGGGATTAGAAGGTTCGCTGTGGGTTGGGAGGACAGTCCCCTGATCATGTCCACGAAGACCTCCGGGAAGCCCAGTTTGTCAAGAGTTGCGAATAGGTAGGGCCAGAGTATGCGGTCAAATGCTTTTTCAGCATCTAGGGAGAGGAGGAGCGTGGGGTGTCGTCGCTGGTTAGCTATCCATATGAGGTCGAATGTTCTCCGTGTGTTGTCGCTAGCCTGCTGGTATGGGATGAAGCCTACTTGGTCTGGGTGGATCAGTTTGGGGAGGAATGGGTGTAGTCGGTTTGCCAGTAATTTTGTAAAGAGTTTGATGCCTGTGTTTAGAAGTGAGATTGGTCTGTAATAGCCTGGGTCTAGGTGGTTTTTGTCCGGTTTCAGGAGTAGGCATATGTTGGCCCTCAGCATGTCTGGGTGTGGGGGGTTCCGTCCATTAGGGAGGTGAATAGTGAGAGGAGGTGCGGTAGGAGTGTGCAGGGCGGGACTGGGATCCGTTTTGTATTGGAGTTCTGTGGTTCTGAGTGCGGCTAGGTGTGTCTCAAGTTGTTTTAGTTGTTGTTTTTTGTGAGCCGTGGCCGTCGCTATTAGTTTGCCCCGTATGACAGCCATATGGGCTGCCCAGAGGGTGCCTACGGAGGAGAACCAGTGTTTATTAAGTTCAAAGTAATCAGTTATGTCTTTTACAAGGGCTTCTTTGATGGTCGTGTTGTGGAGGAGTATGGGGTTGAGTCTCCAGGACCATGTTTTAGTGGCGTGCGTTATAGTAAATTGGAGGGTAATGTCGGCATGGTCCGACCATGTGATCGAGCCTATTGTTGCCTTTGTGACGTGTGGGAGTAGGAAGAGGGACGTGAGGAACATATCGATTCGTGAGTAGGAGGAGTGGGGGTGTGAATAGAAAGTAAAGTCTGAGGTGGAAGGGTGGAGTATTCTCCATGTGTCGACTAGTTGTGTGCGTGTTGCAAATGTTTGCTGCATCCTGTCCATCCGGGTGGACCCTTGGGTTCTTGCGTTTGGTCTCCTTCTGTCTGCCTCGGCTGACATGGTTGCATTGTAATCCCCCCCCACAATCATGTGGTGTGATGGGAAGAGGCGGAGATGGGCCTGTAGAGCTTCCCAGAAGTTAATGTCTGGGACGGTAGGGGCGTATATTGAGGTAAAGGCATATCTGTGGGGTCCGATGTGATATACCTGCCCTGTGGATCTGTTGTGGTGTGCGTGAATGTTATGGGGCAGGTTTTTTTTGTTTGGGTTGTTGAGGCCTTTGCAGAAAGACATGTGAGGCATGTGAGGATCTATGTACTGATTTGTCCCTGGGTCCTGGGGGGGTCTCCCGTATAGGGTGCTGTGACATGAGGCGGGGTGTTGGGTGGGCGGAGGGTGGTAAAGAGGAGAAGGAGGAGGATGGGAACGGAGAAGTAGAGAAGAGAGAGGAGAAGGAAAGAAAAGACACACACAAAACACAGAGAAAAAAAAAAAAGGGGGGGAAGTGGTGTGGGGACGGTGGATTGGGGTATGGAGTGGGTGTGTGTAGGTAGTACATGGGTGGTGTCTGGGGGAGTGAGTAGTTGGGGGGTCAGTCGTGTGTGTGGCCTGGTCTTATATCAGTGTTGCCAGGTCGTTCTGGGCGTGGCTTGTGGGTGGTCGTGTCTGTGTCGGTCCTACTCGGGTGCTGGACCGTAGGAAGGGGTCGGTGTGGTAGGGGTCGTCCGTGGGTGACAAGGTCTCCCTCTTCCCTGTTTCCTGACCTGTCAGTTGTTGCACGAGGTGGTCATTTGTTAGTTGAGAACAAGTAGTGTACGTCTGTTGGGGGTCTCTCGGTGTCTCTTTGTTTGGTGCTGTCTGTGATGTCGTAGGTCCCTCGCCCCATCTGTTGCGGTGTGTTCCTTTTGGAGCAGGAGTTAGAGAACAGTCATAAAACAGTTTGATAATATACATAGAACGTTTGTAAACCGCATATAAAACCATATATAAAACTTATATACATTGACATTTCCATCCTGAGGTGTAAGGTATATCCGACCCACCTATGGTCTAGTATGTTGTGGAGAGGGTTGGGGTGGTCCGGGTTTCACTGATTGGGGTGCCCGTGGGTGCCCTAAGGTGGTGGTGGCCTTGTAACGCGTTCAGTGGTTGTCCCCCCATGAGGTGGTGTGGGTTTGAATCACTGACTGATGGTCGCCTCTCCGGGGGTCTGTTGGGGCGCATCGTGGGTCCTAAGTTTGCCAGGTGTGGCAAAGGGTCTGGGGGAGTGGGGGTTGTGTTGGGGTCATTGATGTGCTCTGCCGTTTGGCGTCCCCCGAGGTGTTTTCCAGTCCTTATACATGGTCATTGCTCATGTCATTTACATTGAGGGTTGCACTCAGTAAGAATGGGGCCTGCTGATGGTTTGTTCTTTTGGGGGGTCCCTTAGTCGTAATGTAGCCGGAACATGTAGCCTTTCTAAACCCAGTGCAACTGTGTCGCACCCAAGGGGACCAGTCCCTGCACCTGTTTGTGTTATTTTGTGTGGCGTGAGTGGCTCGGTTGGGTGTCCCTGTGGGGTGTATGTTGTATGTGGTGGGTGGGTGCGTGGTGGTTTCCTTGCGGGTGCTTGCAGGTGGGCAGGTAGAGTGTAGGCTTACTTGCGCTGTGGTGGTGTGTGTCTCTCGGCTCGTCTCTGCGGGTGGCTAGGTGTGTGCGTGCAGTATGTGTGGGACAGATTGCGAGATAGCCCTTGTTGGTTTCTTGCATTTAGTGTAAGTCCCTGGTTTGGGGTCCACCACCTGTATTGCTCTAACTGAGGGAGGGGTCGTGAGGATGTTCTGGCGTATGCCCTTCTTTTTAAATGCTTTTTTCCCTCCCTCCCTCTCTTTACCTCCCCTTGCAACCTCAGTTTCCGCGCTCTGAGCAGGTAACTGGCAATTAGAAGCCTTCAATTGGACTGCACAAGGTCCTTCGGTGACTTCGGTGAAGATGTAGAAGGCAGCGCCGGAAGCTTCACCTGGTGCTGGAGTGCAGGGAAGTATTTACCAGTATTTACTAATTAGTAGTTGTCCAATAGGACATTTTAAATTCAATAAACGCCCCACACAAAATGCTTTAATATTTAGATTTTTTTTGTTGATATATTGATATATTAAATCATTTGAAAAGCTTATAAAAAGAATAAAATTAGGTCTAATGCCATATTTGGTTGATCTGTGTAATAAAATTACAGAATTTGATTTGAAAGTCATGATTTTATTAAAGACACAGATACTCCATCGCTTTCTTTTCACACCCCACCCTGGATTCCAGGTTTTATTTGTTCAATTGTTGAGAGGGAGACATATTTGAATTCACTTTTATTTACCATATATTTGTTATATATTATTACTCTTATTTGCTGTTGTGGATATATTTCACTTACTATTTGTTTAGTATAATTTATTGTCACAAGTCATTTTCTCATGCTATGCTATCATTATTTTATCATTTGAATATTTCCACATCTTGTAATTTCCGATGTGTTTGGATATTTACCACCGTCTGCGTTCTTCCTGCTTACTTCATCCACCATAAAGATTGACATCATCTTCACTTACAAAGAGCTTGGATTACGTCCAAGCTGGAAACTGTTGAAGAGCAAAGTAAAAAGGGCTTGGGATGTTCGAGAGGACCTTACATTACCTGTTCTGTGATGTGATTGGCTAATACTTGGTGATGTCACCTACATATATCTTTTCTTAAATTTGTTCAGATTTTTGAAAATATCTTTGCTGCTAATGAATAAAAAATGAATAAAATGAGCCTCTATGTCTTCAATTACATCATTGCTTTATGTCATGACTTAATAAAAACCTGTAATTTTGTGCTAGGCCAGATACATATCTATAGAACTTTTCACATATATTTCTGCTGTGCAAATTGTTCATTTAAAGGAACACTATGGGGTCAGGAACCCTTTAGTGTTAAACCCACGATTTAGGTGGCTTGCCCTCTCCCCATAAAACTCACCTTATTTCCAGCACCACTTGGGTCCACCGGTGTTGGTCCTGCCCCTGATCTGCCTCCTTCCTGACATAATTTAGAATTTGTGATTTTTAGCCAATCCAATACTTTCCCATAGTGGAAAGACACTGAATGTCAGTCACACTGTGCAGCACTCCCCCAGGAAGGATCTCTAACAGTTATCTGAGGAGCGGACAGTGTTTACTGCAAAAAGCCTGGAAATGATTATATCTATGGATATCCTTCTGATAATACTATATGAGTATGGAGAGCAGAGTATTAGCTAACTAGTATCGAGTAATAAGGGAGTACGGAAAGCAGAGTATTAGCTAACCAGTATCGAGTAATAAGGGAGAACAGAGTATTAGCTAACTAGTATGGAGTAATAAGGGAGTATGGAGAGCAGAGTATTAGCTAACCATTAGCTAACCAGTATCGAGTAATAAGGGAGAACAGAGTATTAGCTAACCAGTATGGAGTAATAAGGGAGTATGGAGAACAAAGTATTAGCTAACCAGTATCGAGTAATAAGGGAGTATGGCAGACAGAGTATTAGCTAACCAGTATGGAGTTATAAGGGAGTATGGAGAGCAGAGTATTAGCTAACCAGTATGGAGTAATATTGGAGTATGGAGAGCAGAGTATTAGCTAACCAGTATCGAGTAATAAGGGAGAACAGAGTATTAGCTAACCAGTATGGAGTAATAAGGGAGTATGGAGAGCAGAGTATTAGCTAACCAGTATGGAGTAATAAGGGAGTATGGAGAACAGAGTATTAGCTACCCAGTATCGAGTAATAAGGGAGTATGGAGAACAGAGTATTAGCTAACTAGTATCAAGTAATAAGGGAGTATGGAGAACAGAGTATTAGCTAACCAGTATGGAATAATAAGGGAGTATGGAGAACAGAGTATTAGCTAACTCATATCGAGTAATAAGGGAGTATGGAGAGCAGAGTATTAGCTAACCAGTATGGAGTAATAAGGGAGTATGGAGACCAGCGTATTAGTTAACCAGTATCCAACAATAAGGGAGTATGGAGAGCAGAGTATTAGCGAACCAGTATCGAGAAATAAGGGAGTACGGAGAGCAGAGTATTAGCTAACCAGTATCGAGTAATAAGGGAGAATGGAGAGCAGAGTATTAGCTTACCAGTATCGAGTAATAAGGGAGTATGGAGAGCAGAGTTTTAGCTAACCAGTATGGAGTAATAAGGGAGTATGGAGAGCAGAGTGTGACGAGAGCAATCTCGGCACATTGCATTGGAGAAGCCTGGTTGCTCGCCTGCTGCCTTTGGACTATGGCCCCATGTTAAAAGACATCTTTTTTCCCTGCAGAAAAGACTTATTCGTGCTTTTCTGCCTAGTGTTCGGTAGATTTAATCTACCAAACAACCGCACAAATGACTGGACCACCTGGGAGTTGGAATGTGCCGGCAATTAGCCTCCCTGAAGCTGCGGTTAACCGCAGCTTAAATGACGAATGCTGGGTGGCCGCCATTCGTATAACGAACACGAGGTCGTGGCCATTTTAAACATGCGAACGCACAGCAGTGTTGGACGCTTAAATCATGGAGCTAAAATCGGACATAGTTTTGCGCGAACACCGCTGAAGCCGCCGACCTCCCTTCTTGTTCGGTGAAAGTGCACGAACGGCCTGGTGTTCGGTAGTTTTACTTGAATATGTTATAACCCAGATAGGAATCCCATGGAGCCCATTCGCATGAGAACTGACTGTGTAAAGACTTTGGCTCCATGGCGATTACAATGTATTCGTGTGGTCTGAGCGCCATTCGCTTAATAATGTGCGCTCAGACCTGAGCTATCTGGGGATATGTTAAATGTATAGTTTTATTGTAACTTGTGTCACATATTGTATTTTAATAGTAATTCGTGTTTTAGTATCCCCACGTGCATAATGGCGATTTGCCTTTGTCTTGGGAGATAATTGAATGACTTCTCAATTATCTCCAAGGCAGAGGGGAGGAAGCCAGGATGCATTGTGGGAATATAATGTGACTGTGTGTCCTATTTGTCTACTTGTCTGTCTTTTGTCACAGTCTCCCATTTGGTCCTCTAGGGGAGTGTCCACCAGGTGGGAGACCTGCATAAATACTGGGCAGGTAGCCCTCATTAAACAGACCACTGCTTGACCCTCAACACGGAGCTTTGTCTCGTTCTTGGGGGGATTTACTGTATGCTGTTAGAGACTGATTGCCAGGAGTGTAAGCCGCTTGGGTGCTTTTAATGTTCAGCTGCTAGCAGCTATTCGTGAGGTTCCAGTTCGGGAATTTGGAGTGCTACTTGGTATCCTGCTCGGGAGTTTGGGGTTCTGCAGTAGCTGTGCCTGTGTCTCTGGAAGGGGAAGATCTCCTAAACGGCTTTTAACCCCTTTTATGCCTCGGGGTGCCGTAACAATTGGTGGCAAGCAGCGGGATCGTTCCTACAGCCAGAAGGACAGCTACAGGGGACACCATTCCGTGGATTTTACAATTTGAGGGCAACGCATGTCCCAGTACAGCGACCCTGACAGCACCAGAATGGAACCAGCAGTGGAGTATAATGAGGGTGTCATGGATGACCGAGATGCAGTTCACAAAGGCATCTGGTATCAGGCACTGGGTATTGTGGAGTACCAGCGGGACGAGAGATTCCCCAAGAAAGACCAGCGGTTACAGAAGCGAGTAGCCCTGCGGATGCCCTTCCTGGGAGAGCAGCCCCTGGAGGTATGGGTGAAGAAATTGGAACACCTAGTATGGCAAGAGATGTGGCTGGAAGATGCCTACCAGGCACTCTCCCTGGAATGGTGGTATGGGGCACAATGGTGGTATGGGGCACAGTACCTGCCCTGGACGGCCGAGCACAACAAGCCAGAGGGAGAGGAGTTTGATGGTCCTGGCTTGTTATGGGAGGCTTTTTCAGAGCCTGAATTTGGGAGCCCTACACAAGCCCGGTTCAGGGATCTCTTGGAGTGGAGGGAGAGCAGGTATGACTGGGAAGACACTCAGGAGATTGAGCAAGACCTGGTCCACCTAGTGACCCGAGAGATGGAGCTGGAGCAGGGCTACCAAGATCTGTTCCACTCCAGTGAGAAGGCTCAGCAGGGAAGCGGAGACCCAGATCCAGACCCATTCAGCTGGGCAGATGTTGCAGAAAATCACTGGGAAGAACCCCAGATGGCTGGTGGAGATGGGACCGAGGTCTCTCCACTGGTCCTGCAGGGAATTGGGAGCCCAGTCTCCATTCCCCAGTGGGAGATATTGCAGGGAATTGGGAGCCCAGTCTCCATTCCCCAGCGGGAGATATTGCAGGGAATTGGGAGCCCAAGCTCCATTCCCCAGCGGGAGATATTGCAGGGAATTGGGAGCCCATGCTCCATTCCCCAGCGGCAGGCTGAGTTACAGGGGGCAGAGACAAATGGTCCTGTCCCCCAGCGGCAGTGTACCTTGCAGGGAGAAGAGAGCAGCGTCCTCCCTCCCCAGTGGCAGGGTGAGCTACAGGGATGCTGGGCGGTCGGCTCAGATCCCCAGCGGCAGTATGATTTTTTGGGAATTGGGAACCCAGTCTCCATTCCCCAGTGACAGGATGATTTATTGGGAATTGGGAGCCCAGTCTCCATTCCCCAACGGCAGTACGATTTATTGGGAATTGGTAGCCCAGTCTCCATTCCCCAGCGGCAGAGTGTCCTACCGGGAATAGAGAGCCCAGTCTCCTTTCCCCAGCAGCAGGACTCTGTATTGGGAGCGGATACAGTCGGTCTCCCTCCCCGCTGGAAGTATGTATGGGAGAGGAGCTTGTTACCCCCTCTCCCCAGCGGCAGCTTAATGTACCAGGGGGAGACAGTAAGCCCCACAACTGTGCAGATGGGACCGTGGTCTCTGCACGTACAGCACAGGGGGTAGGGATGGTCGGTTCTGCCCCCCAGCGACAGGGCTGTTTAACCAAAGGGGAGACAGTTGGTCTCCCCCTCCGGCAGCCCAGCGGTGTATCTAAAGGGGAGACAGTCGGTCTCCAGCAGCAGGGCTGTGTGTCTAAAGGGGAGACAGTCGGTCTCCGGCAGCAGAGCTGGATATCTAAAGGGGAGACAGTCAGACTCCCCCTCCAAGCACCAGGCTCCAACCAGGCTACCTCCACAGTAGCGCTGGCACCAGGGCAGAGTACCGCTGGTCTCTGCCCACTCAGCAACCCACCAAGTCAGCGTACCTGTACCCAGCACAGCCATGGTGAGGCACCTGGACATGGACAAGCTTCTCCTCTACCCAGGTGTAGTAACCATTTATTGTGGGTGGGCTGTATTGCGGATTGTGTGTTGTGGGTGGGCTGCTGGACTAACAAGGGCACTGACAGGCAGGAGGTCAGATACCCTGTTAGTCTGTTTGGAAAAGGGGAGAGATGTGACGAGAGCAATCTCGCCACATTGCATTGGAGAAGCCTGGTTGCTCGCCTGCTGACTTTGGATTATGGCCCCATGTTAAAAGACCTCTTTTCCCCTGCAGAAAAGGCTTCAATGCGGTCTTCAAGATCATTTATAAACATATTAAATAGAAGGGGTCCCAGAACAGACCCCTGAGGGACACCACTTGCCACCTCTGTCCAGCTTGAAATTTTACCATTAATGACAACTCTTTGTACTCTGTTTTTAAGCCAATGTTCTACCCAAGAACAAGCATTTTCATCTAGACCGATTTCCTTGAGTTTGAACACTAATCTATTGTGTGGAACTGTATCAAATGCCTTGGCAAAATCCAAATAGATCACATCCACGGCAACACCCTGATCTATACTTCTACTTACTTCTTCGTAGAACGCAATCAAGTTAGTTTGACATGACCTGTGCTTCATAAAACCATGCTGATTTTTGCTGATAACCATGTTCTTCTCAAGGAATTCTTGAATATTATCCCTTAATAACCTTTCAAATATTTTCCAGCCACAGAAGTTAAGCTCACAGGTCTATAATTTCCAGGCAAGGATTTTGAACCCTTTTTGAATATAGGAACCACATCTGCCTTCCTCCAATCCTCCGGAACACTTCCTGAAAGAAAAGAATCTTGAAAGATTAAAAACAGAGGTTCACTTATTTCTGCACTTAGTTCCTTAAGTACACGTGGATGGATACCGTCAGGCCCTGGAGCTTTGTTTAATTTAACTTTCTTTAGTTGCTGCAGCACCTTGTCTTGAGTTAACCAATTACAATTATTCTGCAAGTTTTTAGTAGCAATCATTTGCACATGTATTGCCATGGGTTCTTCCTTAATATATACGGAGGAGAAAAAGTTATTTAAAATTCCTGCCTTTTCCTGGTCTTCATTAATTAACACCCCCGTTTCAGTTTTTAGTGTACCTACACTTTCATTTTGTTTGTTTTTTAGAATTTCTGTACTTAAAAAATGCTTTGGGGTTGGTTTTGCTCTCTTTAGCTATCATTATTTCATTTTGAAGTTTAGCAAGTCTAATTGCCTTTTTGCACGCATTATTTGCATCCTTATATCTTTTATAAGATGCATCTGATTTGTCCGATTTAAATGCCCTTCTCTTAGTTGTAATCTCTTGTTTTACTTCTCTACTAAGCCACATTGGTTTTAATTTGTTTCTTTTATATTTATTTCCCAATGGTACATACTGAGAAATGTACCTTTGTAATATTTGTTGGAAGATGATCCATTTATCCTCAGTGTTCTTTTCACTAAAGAGTTTATGCCAGTCAATATATTGTAAAGCTTCCCTTAACTTATTGAAATTGGCCTTTTTAAAATTATATGTTTTAGTATTCCCCATGTGCTTTTGTTTTTTTGAGTTTATTTCAAAGGACACTATATTGTGATCACTATTTCCCAAGTGCTCACCTACTTGAATGTTGGTCAAAAGATCAGCGTTGTTTGTTAAAACCAGGTCCAGACAAGCATCCATTCTAGTTGGTGCTTGTACAAGTTGTGACATGAAGGTGTCATTTAACAAGTTTAAAAACCTAATTCCCTTTGCTGAGGCACTAGTCCCTCTGTCCCAATTTATATCCGGGTAATTAAAATCTCCAATAATTAAAGTGTTACCCAGATTTGCAGCTTTCTCAATTTGCTCAAACAGCTGTTGTTCCTCATAAATATTAATATTAGGTGGTTTATAACAGATCCCAACCAATAGTTGGTTTCCCTT